TACGAACACAACATTTTTATATATATAGATTTCGTTGATAATATGATCACGTCGTTTGATAATAACTATGTTTTTAATTCTTTCTTCATTTAAATTCTTTGGCCTTTGGATAGGTGAAAACATTAAACCAATTTCTAGTAAACCTTTCCCAAACACATTTAGTTTGGTACCAATTATGTAATATTTCATAAAAAATCAATATTTTCAGTCTTTACCTTTAGATAGGTTATAATCCTATTTAAAATAATTCCAAAAAAAATTTCTCAAATACCTTTCATTTGGTACCAATATTGTAATTCTTAATTTATTTTATCGGTTTAAATGAGTTACATTTTCAAAAAGGTGGCAACCCTCTTCAAAAACATTTTCGACCGTAAGCCTTCGTAAAAATCTTTAGTTTGAAACGCACATTGCAATATTCCATTTATTTTATTTTAAAATTTTAAAATATGTGGCAAACCTCCCCGAAAATATTTCCAACAATCATCTTTCTTAAACACCTTTAATTTGATACCTATATTGTAATATGTCATTTATTGTATCAATTAAATTGAGTTAAATTTTCAAATAGGGGCAACCCTCCTCAAATGTATTTTCAGCTGTAGCCTTCTTAAAACTGTTTAGTTTGACACCCACGTGGCAATATTTCATTTACTTTATCAATTTAACTATCTTACAATTTTTAAATAGGTGGCAACCCCCTCAAAAATATTTCTAACAGTTATGTTTCTTAAACCTCTTTAATTTGATACCCATATTGTAATATTTCAGTTATTTTATCAATGTAATTTTGTTAAATTTTCAAACAGGTGACAACCCTCCTCAAACATATTTTCGGCTGCAAGCCTTCTTAAAATTCGTTAGTTTGACACCCACATGGCATTATTTCATTTATTTTTTCAATTTGACTGATTTAAAATTTTCAAGTAGGTGGCAACGCTCGTCAAAAATATTTCTAACAGTTATCATTCTTAAACCTCTTTAATTTTATACCCATATTGTAATATTTCACTTATCTTATCAATGTAATTTAGTTAAATTTTCAAACAGGTGGCAACCCTCCTAAAACATATTTTCGGCTGTAAGCCTTCTTAAAACTCTTTAGTTTGAAACCCACATGGCGATATTTCATTTATTTTATAAATGTGACTGAGTTAAAATTTTCAAATAGGTGGCAACCCTCCTCAAAAATATTTCTAACCGTCATCTTTCTTAAACCTCTTTAATTTGATACCTATATTGTAATAGGTAATTTATCTTATCTTTAAATTGAGTTAAATTTTCAACCAGGTGGCAACCCTCCTCAAACATATTTTCGGCTGTAAGCCTTCTTAAAAGTCTTTAGGTTGACGCCCACATTACAATATTTCTTTTATTAATATAACTGAGCTAAAAAATTTCAAATAGGTGGCAACCCTCGTCAAAGATATTTCCATCAGTTAACTTTCTTAAACCTCTTTAACCTAATACCCTTATTGTAATAACTTGTTAATTTTATCAATATATTTGAGTTTAAAAAATTTCAAATAGGTGGCAACCCTCCAATTTTTTGCGATATCATTGGTTCTAGTATTATACTGAACAATACAAAAAAAAAAATATTCAAATCGGTTCAGCCGTTCTCGAGTTTTGACGACCGGGACATACGAACACAACATTTTTATTATTATAGATTTAATCGAGCTTCTTTCTGCGCTAAATTTATTTTGGATCCTTTTGATGGTAGTAACGATCCACTCGTTGCATTTTTTCTTTTGCTCTGGTAATCGCACGGGGACACAATAAACAAATACTAAATTTTCTGTCCAAAAAACCAAGAGGGACGAAATCGAATGTTTCTAGAGCAACGCTGGCAAAAGCTTCTTGCCTGTTATCAATATTTTCAGTGACCTTATCTTTCAACTATCTATTCCAGTCACACATCACTTCGTCCTAATGTATTGACACCGACTTTACAGCTTTAGCTTCTGTGCCCCACCTGATCTTGTAATGCCTTTTTACAGCTTCATATCTTGACGTCTTATTTGTGAACCTCCCATCTAGAGGTGCAAAAAAAATCGATTCAGACATCCATACATCTATTTATTTAATTTTTGACACAACATCGATGCTGTGGGGTGGAATCTATTAAAATCGAGAAAGTTCCTTCGCTCCTTGTAAAATTTACGGTGAGTAAATTATGCGCTATGAGTAAAACTAAAATTATATTTGTGAAATGGAAAAACTTTTTTTTTTCTAGTCGGTTTAATTTAGCTTGTCCTGCTTGGGTCAAATCCTCTACTTGGCTAAAATCTATTAATTAAAAAAAGAAAACAAATCGAGGAATTTAAAGAATCTGAGTCTCCATAACACTATTCTTGAAGTTTCGGGCGTTTTGATTGACCCTAGAAAATTAGATTGTCCTTAATAGGGAAGAAATCATTTTCTTACGTGGTTTTTCTCTGAAAAATAAACGATCTAGAGAGTTATCATAAAGAGGGGACATTCATAGAGAATCATTACTAAACAAAATATTAACATTTTGGGCCAGTTTCCGGGTACAATGCAGGATTTTTTTGGCTTGGACCAATGCTTAGTTTTTAGTTGTAATTAAAGTACTGAAATATATTAAATATTCTTATTCATTTTTTATAACAAAAATGGAAAATAAAGTTTTAATGTAAAAACTTATTGATTTAAAATAATAACTTTGTTTCCAATACTTAAAAAATTAAATGAATAAATGAAATAAGAACGATGGAATAAATAATGATTTTTACTAGCAGCCAATGAGATGTGTAACACATGATTTCCGTCATAGTTATCAATTGGCTTAGTGCAAAATTTTTGTATTTTTGTTAACATATATGTAATACTTCTATATTGCTAGTACAATATGATCGCAATGAGTTTTCCATTCGAAATGAAAGAAAGACAGCCTATGAAAATTTCTGTGATTGTAGAGGTATACGTGTATATACCAAAAATCAATGCGATTTTCTAGCAACTTTAAACTTGCACTTTGTTATACTAAATTTGAATGGGCAATAAAACTGCGTACTTAGAATTTTTCGAGAAAATCTGAATAAAAAGTTGCAAATTAGTGTGCAAATTTGATGAATTTTCCTGAGTTTTGCACAAAGTTTAGAGATTTTATTATTAAGTTTTCTGGTGTAAAATGAACTATATTTTTATAAAAAATGATCGAAAATAAATTAGAATAAAAAACTTTGCATATATGGCGAAAAATTCACTGTGCCAATACTTTTGTTCGTCACTGTATATGTTTGTTAAGAAATCTCTAACATAGGTTTTGTAAATCACACAGATTTCAAATCGTATGATTTGCAGAACACGCCTAATAACTTTTACTAAAAATTCGATTTTAGTCGATTATAATCGATCTTTATCAACAATTATTATAAAAACATAAATGTTGTAAAAATGGATTTTTTGCAGCTCTACTCCCATCTCTTGGTAGAGAAGGAGAACACATGGATAGCCGCTGCATTGCTCGAAAAAACATGATTGCGCGGATATTAACATGAGCTACTTGCACCCAAACCAAATAAAGTGTATTTATAGCACAAAGAACGATTACAGCTTGTGGTTCAGCTCCGATTATCTGCTAAAACCCATAGCCATTACCGACCAGTATTGCTCTTCTCTTTTTGTAACTGCCTGAACGATTTTGGCTGGGTACAGTCGTTTCTCTTCCGGGCCAACTGACGCCAATTGAAATGCTAAGGGAAACCAGTCCATTCAATCTTTCAGTGGTCATTGTTTTTACGTGCCTGGTCATAAGCCCAGCACACTATCCTTTGCTACCCAGAACATGCTTGTTCTTAACTCTCGAAGTCCTGATCTGCTTTAATGTCGATCAAAAACTTTCATCCATATGCGTGGACTTCCGCACTCGAACCATCCTCCATTCGGCCATTATTAGTGCATTATAATATGATTGGTCTCAAAAATTTTAGGTTCAATTCATCATTCCTTGAACAAAAGCTGAACGAATATTTCTTTGATCTTAAACACAACCATTCATTATACGCCATGATGAAAATCTCAAAGCGTTGCTAAGGATATTCCGACAGTTCTTCTGTGGAAATAAGTTGCAAAGTAAACAGACCAAAAATGCTTTCAATAGAGATAAGCTCATATAGGTGCGGTTGGATACTTTTTTTCAACGTTTCGAAGTTTGCTTCAACCGTGAAATCTCAGAAACATTCCACTCATGTTTGGACCTTAATCGTCCTCTTAGCAGTGGCGTCGGGCGGAACGGGCCAGCGTTAGCGGGCCTCAAGTTCAAATGTATTATACATAAAATCGGGCCATAAATAAAAAATGTTATGAAAAAAACTTGCTTTTGGTAATTTTTTGGACGTGCGAAAGATGAAAACTTTTTTGCGACCCAACCAAATGAATAGGCGGCGCGTTTGAATAAATTTTTTGTAGAGGAAAAAAAAATAAGGGTGTTCAGACTATACTCGTTAAGGTCTTAATTCGGTATTCGGTAACTCCCACCATTGTTTTGTTTTTGTAAATTACCAACTTAACGAGGTCGCAGGTCTGATAATGTGGTAACGCAAGCGTTAAAATGTCAGCGGATTCCCTTCTGTCACATATTTGCTGGAATTTTCTCCCGCGAAAAGTGCATACATTTTATCAAAATTTCAATAAATCTTTCTGTCGTGGAATTAATAAATGTTTAATAATTAAATAAGTATTACTTAAATAAAAGTAATTTTAACCAGAAAAAGAATAAGGGGCGTTCGAAGTTTAAAGTGTTACCGAGTTACCAGATAACGAGTTAATATATTAACGAGTATAGTCTGAATACCCTTAGTATATTTGAGCGCTTGGCAAAGTTTGGTTATAGAGAGGAATTCGCTACAGGGACATTTCGCTCTAGAAGAGTTAGGAATATAAAAGTACTACTTTAATATAAATGTATGAACATATGTCATCGTCAATTAACTCCAAACATCTATATCTGCATTTCCCATTCTTATATTTAGAGGATTACCGGAAAAATACAGGCTTGAAGTTTCCAATATATCAAAACATCACAGAATTTCTTCTCTCCATTCCCTACGTGACTGCGTTTTGCAACGAAACTGGGAAGCTCATATTTAATGTCCGACCGTCGGCGAGGACAAAGCATATCTACGACCTAGTACAACATCAAAAACCCTCGCAGCAGCAACTACCACAAAACCACAAACACCAACAAATCGGTAGGGAGCAAAATCAATTCGACCTGTGCCCAAACATCATCTCAAAAGGACGAAACGAGTTCGACGATCTCTGGTACTGCAAGAAAAAGCAATTCAACTATCAAGATAATTACGAACACATTGATAACAATAACATTGCGAACAACGAAAAGTTAACACCGGTAAATGTGATAAAAGGAAAATCCACAAATGTGCTGGGTGAAATCAGTGGGCATAAAAAGGGCGATAGTGATACAGAGGAATCCAGAAGCACTAACTACTACCAAGATAATTGCAATCATCTGTAAGTATAGAAAATATGACCTAAAAAATTTTTGAAATCAGTCGACAAGACTTAACGATACATGTGTATCGTCGATGATACCATAGTGAAAATATTTAGAAAATGTCCTCTCAAAATTTTAGACAGGTTTTTTTTTTTTGAATGGCGACATGAAGAAATCAGGGGTGTTAAAAGTGATTAAAGTTATTATAATAAACTTAGTATTAGCAAAATATCTATTCAAAACTACATAGTTCTTATATTTATTTTATATTATATTCAACAATTTATATTGAGCTCGAGGCCGTTTTAAATGAAAATTTTTATTGTGGAAAAGCAACAATAATTTGAAAAAATGGTAGAAGTGATAGCTATTTCGGAAATCACCACATTTCCTCATCAGACTTCTTTCAGTAGGATTCGAACCGACGATCCCACTGACTCAGCCAGTTGCCTATGCACCGTGCTAAG